GAGGCATCCATGATCCGCGCCATGTAACATTCATGACGTCGGAGGTTAGGGGGATCCGCATCGTCTGCTGGCTTGTGCCTTCCTCCTTCCTCCTCCTGGACCTTTTTCCTGCGTTCCTTCTTCCTCCCTGGCCTCTTGCCCCATGGTCTTCTCATTCCTTGTCCTCAGCTGCCTCTTCCGTCTCCCTCTCTTGTATCGTCGTCCTCGATGGACCGGCTTATAGTTCGCATCTCGGAACCTTGTTGGCGCGCCCCGGGTCGACCGAGAGTCAAACGGGAGTGGGCCAGGACGTAGCTGAAATGTCCAGTTGCCTTCGGCGTATCCCGCCAGGTTGGCCTCTGTAGGACCTCTGGGATGCAAATTTGAAGGTTCGACCGAGAGTCAGACGGGAATGGGCCGGGACGTAGCTGAAATATGCAGTTGTCCTCGGCGTATCCCGCCAAGTTGGCCCTTGCAGGAGCTCTGGGATGCATCTTTGAAGCTTGGACCGAGAGTCACGCGGGAGTGGGCCGGGATGTAGCTGAAATATCCAGTTTTCTTCGGCGTTCTCGTTTTATAGAGCACTGCGGTCTCCATCCTCCCCCTTCCTCCTCCTCCTCCTCCTCCTCCTCCTCCTCCTCCTCCTCCTCCTCCTCCTCCTCCTCCTCCTCCTCCACGCCTCCCTTCTCCTCTCCTCTCCTGTGCGCCTGGTGGCTTGCCCGTGGGGCCTGCGAAGTGTGAAGCTGGCATGCCTTGGGAGCTGCGATCTGCGAAACTGTCGCCACTTTCGAAGGCTGCTGGGGCGGGCCAGCACAGAGGGCACTCGCCGCAGACTCAGTTTAGACCTTGCTATCCCTGGGGCGCTGCAATCTGTGAAGCTGTCGCCAGTGTCGAAGGCTGCTGGGGGGACAAGCACAGTGGGCACCCGCCGCGGACTCAGATTGGACCTCGCCATCCCCCTGGGGGGCTGCGATCTGCGAAACGGTCGCCACTTTCGAGGTCTGCTTGGGGGACCAGCATAGTGGGTGCTCGCCGCAGGTTCAGATTAGACCTCGCCATGCCTGGGGTGCTGCGATATGTGAAACCGTCGCCACTTTCGAGGGCTGCTGGGGGGACCAGCACAGTGGGCACTCGCCGCAGACTCAGATTAGACCTCGCCATCCCTGGGGGGCTGCGATCTACGAAACCGTTGCCACTTTCGAGGGCTGCTAGGGGGAGCAGCATGGTGGGTACACCCGCCGCGGATTCAGATTAGACCTCGCTATCCCTGGGGGGCTGCGATCTGCGAAACTGTCGCCAGTCTCGAATGCTGCTGGGGGGACCATCATAGTGGGCACTCGCCACGGATTCGGATTAGACCTCGCCATGCCTGGGACGCTGCGACATGTGAAATTGGTGCCACTTTCGAGGGCTTCTGGGGGGGCCAGCACAGTGGGCACTCGCCGCAGGCTCAGATTGGACCTCGCCATCCCTGGGGGGCTGCGATCTGCGAAACGGTCGCCACTTTCGAGGTCTGCTTGGGGGACCAGCATAGTGGGTACTCGCCTCAGGTTCAGATTAGACCTCGCCATGCCTGGGGCGCTGCGATCTGTGAAATTGTCGCTTCTTTCGAGGGTTGCTGGGGTGCCAGCATAGTGGGTACTTGGCGCATGTTCAGATTAGACCTCGCCATCCTTGGGGGGCTGCGGTCTGTGAAACTGTCGCCACTTTCGAAGGTTGCTGGGGGACCAGCATTGTAGGTACCCGCTGCACATTAGCCATCTACTGAACACAGCTGTACCATTATGTTTTCTCCCACCACTTTCATCGTGACCCTATTTCCCTTGTCACCTTCTCCATGCTGCTGCTGCCGCGATGGCTCCCCGCTCCCACAATTCCGTCATTATCCTGCCTGTTGTTCCCGCCCCCGTTTTTCTGCCAATCCTCGTCCTGTCGATCGCTGTCCTGTGAGTCGTTCAACGTGCGCGCATCCCATGTAGCTTGCACAACACATCGCCGCGCCTGCACTGTCGTTATCCCTGCCAATGTTGGCCTACGTCTCTTTTTCCACTCGATGCAAATGGGTTGGGTACATCGCAGGGTAAGTTTGGGGAACGTGGCCCTGGGAGCGCGGACGCAGTAATTCACGAGGGAGCGCGGCCCTGGGAGCGCGGACGCAGTGTAGTTTACGACGGATCGTGGCCCAGGGAGAGCGGACGCAGTGTAGTTTACGAGGGATCATGGTCCAGGGAGCGCGGATTCAGCGTAATTTCCTATGCATCGTGGCCTTGGGAGCGCGGACACCGTATATTTTACAATGGATCATGGAATTACGAACGCAGAAGCAGCGTAATTTAAGAGGGATCGTGGCTCTGGGGGGGGCGGACACAGTGTAATTTACAAGGGAACGTAGCCTTGGGAGCGCGGATTCATCGTAATTCACGAAGGAACGCTGCCCTGGGAGCGCGGACGCAGCGTAGTTTACGCGGGATCTAGGAGGGATCGTGGCTCAGGGAGCGCGGACGCAGCGTAATTTGAGAGGGATCGTGGCCCTGAGAGAGCGGACACTGCGTAATTTACGTGGGATCCTGGGTCAGGGACGTCCCGCGGCGCGTCCCCTGGCACGTCCCGTGGCGCGTCCACTGGCACGTCCCGTGGCGCGTCCACTGGCACACGCACGCGCACACACAGACGCATACCAACACGCACACACACGCACATACAGAGAGGCACCATACGTTCACGCAGACCGCAGGGGCACGGCAAGGCAGCACGGCATAACACAGTTGTGCCGCAGACCACCACGCACGGACACACATGCACATATTCCACGCACGCACGCGCACGCGCAAACGCACGCACGCCACGACAGACTTGCGCAGCGCATACTAAGAACGTAGGATATCTCATAAACCTGAGACACAAAAGGACGCTCCCCGTTCTTGTCCGGTCAGGTTGGGAGAGGGAGACTCTCACACGCCTGCAGACCCCAAGGGGTCGGCGGATTTTGGAATTCTTTACGCTTCGCGTATCCCCATCAGCCCATCTCTCAACAGTAACTCTTGCGAAGCATGCCGACAGTCGTGTTTTTCAGGCGTGCTTCCGCCTGCCCCCGCATATCTCCCCTGTTACTCCTTCCTCCCGCCTCCTTGTACATCCTCCTTGTGGGGGGAGCGGGAGAAGGACGAGGCGGAGGAGGAGGGAGAGAAAAGCGCCTCGTGGTTTGAGTCGTTTGGGGTTTCTCGTCCTGGTGTGAGTCGTTCGGGCCCTTCTTCCTGGTGTGAGTCGTTCGGGCTCTTCGTGGTGTGAGTCGTTCGGGCTCTTCGTCCTGGTGTGAGTCGTTCGGGCTTCTCGTGGTGTGAGTTGTTCGGGCCCCTCGTCCTGGTGTGAGTCGTTCGGGCCCCTCCTCCTGGTGTGACTCGTTCGGGCTCCTCGTGGTGTGAGTCGTTCGGGGCCCTCGTCGTGGTGTGAGTCGTTGGGGCTCCTCGTGGTGGCTTGTATGAGCGCTGCCCCTCCTCCTGCTGTGACTCGTTCGGGCTCCTCGTGGTGTGAGTCGTTCGAGGCCCGCGTCGTGGTGTGAGTCGTTCGGGCTCCTCGTGGTGTGAGTCGTTCGGGCGCCTCGTCCTGGTGTAAGTCGTTCGGGAACCTCCTTGTGGTGTGAGTCGTTCGGGCTCTTCGTGGTGTGAGTCGTTCGGGCCCCTCGCCCTGGTGTGAGTCGTTCGGGCTCCTCGTGGGGCCTCTTGGGGGCCTCTTGGAGCCTCTTGGGGCCTCTTGGGGGCCTCTTGGGGGCCTCTTGGGGGCCTCTTGGGGCCTCTTGGGGCCTCTTGGGGGCCTCTTGGGGGCCTCTTGGGGGCCTCTTGGGGCCGCTTGGGGGCCTCTGGGGGGCCTCTTGGAGGCCTCTTGGGAGCCTCCTGGGGGCCTCTTGGGGCCATCTTGGGGCCTCTTGCGACCTCCTTTGAAGCGCAAATGAGAGCTGCCCCCTGAGAAGGACAAAATGAGCCCAAAACCTTCGTAAAATCAATGATTCTGCTATAAAGGACGATGAGCGCTGCCCCCTCAGAAGGCCAACATGGAGCCAAAACCATAGTAAAATCAATGTTTCTGGCTTCAAAGAAGAGGAGAGGGGCCAAACTCCCCCCCCCCCGGGGCCAGAATCCTCGTGAGGGTCGCCGTTTTTTGACCCTCCCAGGAGTCGAAAAAGACCCCCCTGACCACCCGCCGGGGCCTCTCTCCAGGCCCAGGGGGAGGGGGTAGGGGGAGGGGTAAACCCCTCCCCGAAGGGGAAGAAGGGGGGTTGAGGACAGAGCGGGCTCTCTAAACCACTCACGCCCAAAGGGCTGGTGGGATTAGCATGTTAGGGTTAGGGTTCGGGCGGTACTGTTAGGGTGTGAGGGTTGGGGTTCGGATGATAGTGTTAGTGTGCTAGGGCCACGGTTAGGATGTTGAGGTTAGGGTGGTACGGTTACGGTTCGGGTGTCAGGTTCCAGGTTGTTAGGGTCATGATTAGTTTGAGAAGGGTAGGCTTCGCATGCTAGGGTAGGGTGTTAGTGCTAGGTTGTTCGGATTACGGACAGTGCTTGCTGCCATGGCGTTAGCGTTTTGTCAGGGTGGCGGGGTTCGGGTTTTATGATTAGGGTTTGGGGGTTAGGATGTTAGGTTTAGGGTGGTGCGGTGCTAGGGTTAGGGTTAGTGCTTGTGGTCAGGGTATCAGGATCAGGGTGCTAGGGTCATGGTCTGAGGGTTCGGGTGGCAGGGCTGGGGTGGTAGGGTGGTAAGCACAGAGGCCCAGAGTAGGGGTCGGGTGTGCCTCCGCCCCCCCTCCCCCTGCAGTTTTGGGGCAACGGTGCCTTCCCCCCTTTGGAGGTGTCCAAGACGATGGATCTGGAAACCGGGGGGGGGCATCTGGGACGGTGGACCGATGAAAGAGGGGCACGCGGGGTCCAACCCCCTCCTCTGGGTCAACCAGCGGCGGGCCCTCGTAGTGTTGACTGCGTGCAGCGTTGCCTGTGCGCATTGCATGTAGAATGCTGTGCCATTGCGGTTCAAGCTTCTTTGTTCAGTTGTTCGTGTGGATTGGGCGGCTTGTTCTCCGCTAGCGGCCCTGTGTGTGAGGCAGCTTCATGGGGCCTCAGTTGCGATATGTATATGGTGTCACACCAGCTGGCCTTCCAGAGTATGTGGTTAGAGTGGGTGGAGCGAAAGTGAAGCGATGGAGATGAGGTCAGGGCTGCAGGAGAGCTGGAAATGGTGGCTGGAGCTCTCTAGTCAAACTGCCCGTGGTGGGCACCCATATGTCAATACCCGCGCAGAGGAGGGGATGCGACGCCTGAGGCGAGTTTGCTTTGGTCCCTGTGTGCGCGAGAGAGACGGATGGGTGGGCGGCCAGGCGATGTCTCTGCGCAGGGCCATCGCTCGAGCCAGCGAAGTGGCTGTGCCGCTCAGGAAAACATCAAAGAAGGATCAGACCCGTCTCGGTGCGCCAGTGCTTGCTGTCGCGATGGGGCAGGGCGCGTGGGGGCGGTGCCACGAACGAGTGCGACCTGCGTGCGCGCGTTCGTCCGTTGGCGCGTACGCGCGCACGTTTCCGCATATGTTCCTAGCGGGTCTCTTTCAATTGCTAGACAGTGCACACGTTGAGGCAGTTCTGTGCGCTCCAGCGTTTGGCCCTGAGGCGGCATAACAATTCCCCCAGTGCAGCGGGTGTAGCTGTCTGCATTGCGGCGTGGTGCACCGCGTGAGCGCTCGGATCTACAACACTGCCGGCGCGTCCGTGAAAAACGACCGTGGCACGCAGAGCGCCTCGCACGACTCGGAACCGCATTCGCACTGCGCAGCGCTCGCCTCGCAACAATCGCGTTCGCTCTCGAGCTTGCACTCGCACTCTGCACCCCGTCCCCCCCCTTTGGAAGTGCAGTGCTGGGGAGGGAGGGGAGGGAGGGGAGGGAGGGGAGGGAGGGGAGGGAGGCAAGTTAGGTGCGCTCGCGTCAACATCTGACATCCTACCCCTCCCTCCCATCCCTTACCATGGCGCTGATTTTCTCTATCCGCGGACGCGTGTCGTAGCGGACCTGTGGCTCCGCGCGCGTGTGCGTAGTGGGTGGTGGTGCGCGTGCGTGCGTGCGTGTGTGCGTGGTTGTGGTTGTTGGTGGTGGTGGTGTGTGTATGTGTGTGTGTGTGTGTGTGTGTGCGTGTGTGCGCGTGTGCTGTGGTGTGACGTGGTGTGGCGTCTTGGTGGTGTGGTGGTGGGCCATGTGCGTACGTGCGTGATGGCGGTGGTGGTGGTGATGGTGGCGGTGGTGGTGTGTGTGTGTGTGTGTGTGTGTGTGTGTGTGTGTGTGCGTGTGTATGTGCGTGTATGTGTATGTGTGTGTGTGTGTGTGTGTGTGTGTGTGTGCGTGCGTGCGTGCGTGCGTGCGTGCGTGCGTGCGTGCGTGCGTGCGTGCGTGCGTGCGTCCGTGCGTGTCTGTGTGTGCGCGCGTGTGATGTGCTGTGACGCGTTGTAGCGTGGTGGTGGTGAGTGGGGTAGTGCGGTGGTGGTGGCGGTGCGCGGTGGTGGTGCGCGTGCGTGCGTGCGTGCGTTGGTGGGTGGAAGTGGCGGTGGGTGTGCGTGCGGCGGGGCGGGGCGTGGTGCGGCGCGGTGGTGGCGGGCGGATGGGCGCGCGAAAAAGAGGCCCGCGCTGGGGCGAGAATGCCATCCTGAACGACGGAGGCAAAACACCGATCCGAAAACGAGGCCCACGCTGCAGCGGGAGCACGATTCGGAACGATTCGGGAGCAGAAATGAGGCCGGCGCCTCAGCGAGAGCAGCAGTTTGAAAAAAAGCAGGCGAAAACCCACTTCCCGGGAATCCTGTGTGTTAAAAAAAACAGTACGCGGGGGGGGTCTACTACTCCCAGCACGCCATCAGGGGAAGAGGGAGAGTAGTATTCATATTGAGTAATTGTGGAGGGGGGGAGGGAGGGGAGGAGGGAGGGGGGGAGGGAGGGGAGGGAGGGGAGGGAGGGGAGGGAGGAGGGAGGGAGGGGAGGGAGGGAGGGGGGAGGGGGAGGGGGGGAGGGGGAGGGAGCGGCTCGGCCCACGGGCCGCCAGTTCGGCGGCTGGGGGCGGGGGAGGACGGGCTCGTCAGACGTGGGCGCATCCGTGGACAAAGTCGCCGCACAGCAGTCGCGCGCGCTTCGTCTTCACATCAACATCTTTGTCGGGCGTGTCCCCCTACAGGGGGCTTTTCGACGTTTTTTTTTGTGTGTTTCCCTCCTCCCCCCCCCCCCCCCAAGATAGTCCCAAAATAGTCCCCAGACTATTTTTGGGCTACTTGTTTGTTGATTTGTAGGGTATTTTTTAAACAATTTGTTCCTCGACAATCCCCCTGTAGGGGGACACGCCCGACATGAATCAACATCTGCCATCGGGCCGATCTCGACGCACTCCCCCGTTGACACCCCGAGGGTCTCGCTGCCGTTGCCGGGCTCCCGGGGATGGCCTCGGGGGGTCGGCCGCTGTGTTCCCCGGGAAGGGCCGAAGCCCAGGGTTTTCTTTTCGCTGTTTCCCTGGACTTCCCCGTTGACACTCCGAGAGACACTTCCCCGGTGACACTCCGAGAGTCTCGCTGCCGTTGCTGGGCTCCTGGGGATGGCCTCGAGGGGTCGTCCGTTGTGTTCCCGGGAAGGGCCGAAGCCCAGGGTTTTTCGGGGGCGGCAAAGAGGGGGGTGATGACTAGGGGGGGGTGGATATCATGGCGGGGGCCATGATATTTCCCCAGATTTCAGGGCGCCCCTTCCTATTTCATTACGTCCCTGGCCCCCCCGCTGGGCCGCGCACATGCCGCCGGTCATGATTTGCACCCCCCCCCTCTTGGACACCCCCCTCTTGGCCGCTCCCGAGTTTTCTTTTCGCTGGTACCCTGGACTTGGCTTGCGTTGGGCCCGCGAAATTATTTACGATGAATGTCGAGGTCGCGAATGGCCGGCGGAATTATTTTTGAGGATGTCCCGAGCGAAACAGATTTTTGTTCTTGTTTGAAATTCAGTCAGATAAGACACATGGTGAAGTAAGCATTTTCGTCTGTCGCGGATGTCTCGAGCGAAACGCTTGTTTTGCAGAGTTTGTTGAGGATCTCTCGAGCAAAACGCTTGCATCGTGTTATAGATAGTTCCTCGCCTGGGGACCAGAATTCAGAGGATGTCTCAGATGAAATCCTTGTTTGTACGTGCCCAGGATTGAGGATATCTCGAGCGAGACGCTTGGGTTCACGCGTCCAGGTTGCCCAGGCAGATGTCTAGCATGAGGATTTGTCGAGGACGTCTTTGGCGAGACGCTTGTTTTCACGCGTTCAGGTCGCACAGGCAGATGTCTAGCATGAGGATGTGTTGAGGATGTCTCGAGCGAGACGCGTGATTTCACGTGCTCAGGTCGTCCAGGCAGATATCTAGCATGAGGATGTGTTGAGAACGTCTCAAGCGAAACGCTTGTTTTCACGCGTCCAGGTCGCACAGGCAGATGTATAGCATGAGGATGTGTTGAGGATGTCTCGAGCGAGACGCTTGCTTTCACGTGGTCCAGGGTTGCCTGGTGTGATCGATGTCTCATACATCTATATTCCTTTCCAGGCTCGTGGGTCGATCATGCTGTCAAGCAAAATGCGTTACGCGCGTGCCCGCTCGAGGAACATGTGTCCCCCATCTCGGATCTTCGATGCATAAAGGGGTCCGCAGACACACGTTTTCCTTTGTCAAGCAACGGGGTGTGGAGCGTTTTTCGCAGAATCCGCGAGCAGATCGAGGCCAGGAAAGAAGACAAACTAACTTTTGGCGTGCCCACTCGAGGATGGCGCGCGCTGCGCGCGCCGGCGGAACTATGTGTGACAAAGAATAGAGTAGAGTTTGATTCCTGTTAGATAGCATGCGGTTCGCGCGTGGCCGCTCGAGGAAAGCGTGTCCCTCATCTTTAGGGGAACAAGAAGTGACATAAAGAAAAACTCGGAGGTCCGCGCGGATTTCTCGGATCGGCGCTGGGGCCCCCCGGCGGCGCCTCCGGCGCCGCCCCTGGCGCGCTCCGCGCGCCAGGGATGGGGTCCAGTGCCGATCCGAGAAATCCGCGCGGACCTCCGAGTTTTTATGTTTATGTCATTTCTTGTTCCCCTAATCTTGGATCCTCGATAGATAGCGGGGTCCGCAGGTACGTTTCCCCTTAAACAAACTGGGTGCAAAGCGTTTTGCGCGAAACCCGAGGTGTGGAGGTTTTGACATTTGTCAGATTCTGTATATATATATATATATATGTATAACGATATTTTTTCGTGCCTGCTCGAGGATGGCGCGCCCCGCCGGCCGAATATTTGAGGTGCGGAAATTGGGCGCCCCAGGATGCCCAGGCGGTTCTGGGAGTCCGAACGCAGCGTAATTACTGGGGAACGTGGCCCTGGGAGCGCGGATGCAGCATAATTCACGAGGGAGCGCGGCCTTGGGAGCGCGAATCTAGCTTACTTTTCGAGTGACCGTGGCCCAGGGAGCGCGGACGCAGCGTAATTGACGAGGGATCGTGGCCCTGGGAGCGCGGGCGCAGCGTAATTAACGAGGGATCGTGGCCCTGGGAGCGCGGGCGCAGTGTGATTTACGAGGGATCGTGGCCCCGGGAGCGCGGACGCAGCGCAATTGACAGGGGATCCTGGCCCCGGGGGGGGGGGGGCGGGCACACGGTAACTGATTAGGCATCCTGCCCCTGGGGGCGCGGACACATCATCATCATCATCATCATCATCATCATCATCATCATCATCATCATCATCATCAGCATCAGCATCAGCATCAGCATCATCATCATCATCATCATCATCATCATCATCATCATCATCATCATCACCACTGCTGATGGATCGTGCCCCTGGTGGCGCGGGCGCATCAGAATCTGCAAGGGGTCGTGGCCCCGAGAGAGCGCGGAGCCAGCGCAACTCGTGGGGGGATCGGGGCCCTCGGAGCGCGAACCCCGTGTTGTTTTGCGGAGGGGGCCGTGGCCCTGGAGCGCGAATTCAGAGCGTCCCAGGAAATTTGCAGCGTGTCGTTACCCAGGACCGAATCGTTCGAAATCCAGCCCTGGGGTCGTTCTGAATTTTCCAGGGGTCGTTGCCCTGGGAGCGCTACTTCCGCGTCACTTTTCGGGGGTTCGTGGCGAGGGGCCGCGGCCTCGAGAGCGTGGCCCCCCTTGTAGTTTTACGCGGGGCCGCGTCCCCAGGAGCGCGGGCGCAGGCGTAGTTTACGAGTGACCGCGGCCCAGGAAACAGTGGACGCGGCATGCTTTGCGAGAGGTCGTGGCCTTGGGAGCGCGGTCCCTGGCTCGCCTATAGCCCCACCAAGCAGTGTTCTGAGAACCTTGTGTGGTTTCCAGGAGATGTTCTTGGAACATTTCTGGCGGAGTCAGTCTGTCTTGTTTTAACGCATCGGGAACATGTTCTAAGAACACTGTTTTTGTTCTTCGAAGA